TTGTTGAATAGTCGCGCTACTTCATCTCTCAACTGTCGGCAATCCTCCATTCTGTGGCCGTGAGTGTGGTGATATTTAAATATTCTGGTTAGGATCCCTTTGGGTTGGATCAGATTGTAGAGGTCGAGGCCATTTGGTATCTTTGATGCATCCGATAACCGATATAATGGCGACAACATCGACGTTAAAGTTGTATTCTAATAAACTCGATGCTTCTTTAGGCTCGATGGGCCTGTCGAAACTATTTTTTCTCATGAGTCCCTGGTTGATCTGACCTCGGTTACTTCTCCTTTCATTTCTTATAGAGTTCCGCCCGGACCCGCTGTTTCTTTGGTCTCCATTATACTGCTGATAACGATCCCTGTTCGATCTCGGTTCACGATCGATGTCTCTCTTGACTCTGCCGATGGTTCTGACGGGATATACGGACCCGGAAGGGGCCCCATGTCACTACCCAGACAGATGGGCGGCGACGGATACCTGGTGCCTTACTCAACCGAGTACCAACGTTACATATCATTCTTATCATACTGTCATTGGCAAATGGGACAAACGGGCCGTCATTGGCTAACCAGAATAACATAAGGGAATACTCAATATAAGACGACCCAATCTGACATAAAAACTTATGCATGTGACATAGGGTCTATAAGACCAAAACTACACTGAACATAGTCGATAAGGCCGTACAATCTTTCACGTACGCGACATATGTCTACAAGCCTCTAAGGATACATAAATGTCATAAAGTTTGGGATAGAGCCCCGCCATATCAATCAACACAAGTCCTAATCATACTTACCAATAGCAACTCCGAAGCAAATGGAGCATACTAACATCTTCCGCTGAGCTGATAACTTACTTGGAGGACTCTCGACCTGTCTATCGGGACTTGCAAGCATGAAATACAGCATCCCCAGGCAAAAGGGCAGTATAAATAATATACCGAGTATGTAAGGAATGAAAATCAGTAAACAATAGACATGAGAAAAACATGGAGTAAAAGACTCGACATGTATGTCTGAATAACTCTGTGAATCATTAATATTTACAATGTCATGCATATGCGTATAAATATCATACCATTCTTAGGTATATGCGTTCATAACAATATCAAGCCTCTGAGGGCATCCCATCATATTATCTCGACCACTGTGGGCAAATCATCAACGTATACCAGCTGATCAGGTGGTGGTGTATATATAATGACGTAACATTTTTCCATATCCCATATACATATACACGTATATAACCATCTGGTCAGGGGTCAATGTATATATATAAATGCATGAAATGCATAAGAAATACGTTACTAAGATTTCTCAAAATATCATAAAATCAATATGCCTTTCGGATAAACTTTATCAAATATGTATTTTTCTGAGACCCATGAACAAAAAATATAATAATAATTCATATGGGGAATCAAGAATATAGACACCCCTAGTACTTCTATGAATAGAGTCATTTATGAAAATTGTGCGTTTACTCATTTCGTTTGTATCGTATGGATTATGCCAAAAAGAAAGAAAGGATAGCCTTAACATACCTGAGTCGATTCTCTTGACAATCGCTCTAACACACGTCTTTTGTGATAAAACACGTGACGATGGATCGAAGTAGGAAACAATTCGTATGATATTCTTGAGAAAGATTGTACCGTACTCCTTTAGAACCGCAAAATCCCGTTGCTATTTTCTAAGAAGCCTCGTACATCAACATTCAATCTTGGATCATATTCAAAAGAATTATCCTCAAGGTGTTGGAATGAATTCCCAAAATGAATTCTTAACTAAGAGATGTTGAACATTGATAATTCATTCTTCACACAAAACGAAGTGTGAATGTTATAAGTAGCCTTTCCAAACTGAAAGCAAAATCATATTGTCATCACTTATATAGTTTGCTGAAGCACTTTGCTTTGCTATGAAGATTGAATATGTCTTTATTTGAATTTTTGAGATATCTTACACATGCATATTCATACTTAGAATGGCTAGCGTTACTTATGTTGGGTTATCTATGAATTTGAGATATCTTACATGTGCATGTGGGCCCTACTTTTGTGGATGACTTGGCCAACTATTATTCTAATTATGCCACCTATATGTGAGCTTTAAGAGTCACATTTTGTTGGCTGCCACGTTTAAGAATTAAATCCTTATCTAATAATTATGCTTAATTAATTAGGTAATATCCCATTATCCAATAATTAACCAATTACCCACATAATAAGAATTATCCCAAATTACTTAAAATGCTACTCAGTTTTAATACACTTTATACACCTTACTATCATGGTCATGCGGTACCTTGTATGATACTAGTCCATAAATACCAGGTATTTTAGCTCGGATTGTATCTTTTCCAAAATGTCAAACTTCGACGAAATTCATTTTCTTCGATTTGCTTACCCTTTCACCTTCACGAATTTACTCGTCACTTGTTTGAAATAGAATAATGCTTATAATCTTAAAATAATCCCATTCCCGAATTTACGTCGATTAACTTACGACGAAACTTTAACGTACGAAAATGCGGGATGTAATTTCTCATTTCCGAGCTTTTATCAATTTACTTATGGCGTACTTTTACATACAAAAATATGGGGTCTAACCCCCCAAGTTGATCATCTTCGACCGTGATTTTAGATTGATATCGGTTATGTACATCAGCCCAAGTGACGGCCGAATATTCCACCATGTTCTGTTTCAACTGATGTGAAGCCAATGGGATCCGAATATTAAGTCCTTGGGTGAAAGCCTGAACGACCCAATCATCAACGACCGGTGGCAGGTCCATTCATTCCATTTGAAACCGAGACACGAACTCTCTAAGCATCTCGTTATCATTCTGTTTTACTTTAAAAAGGTCCGACTTCCTGGTCTCGACCTTGGTGGACCCTGCGTGTGCTTTCACGAAAGAATCTGCAAGCATAGCAAATGAGTCAATAGAATTAGGAGGTAAGTTGTGATACCATATCATAGCTCCCTTTGACAGGGTTTCACTGAACTTTTTCAGTAAGACAGACTCGATCTCATCATCCTTCAAGTCGTTCCCCTTGATGGCACATGTGTAGGAGGTTACATGCTCATTTGGGTCGGTCATTCCGTTGTACTTAGGAATTTCGGGCATGCGAAATTTCTTAGGGATAGGCTTTGGATCCACGCTCGGAGGAAAAGGTTTTTTCACGAACTTCTTGGAATCCAAGCCTTTCAATATAGGTGGTGCTCCTGGAATTATAGGTTTCCACCTTTTTGTCGATTTGTTTCTCCCCTGATTCTACTCGTTTTGTCAGTTCCTTGAGCATCTTTATGATCTCGGGGATAGTCTCCAATTCGTTTTCATTCGACCTCTCTACGATCAGTTCATCCTTGCGGATGACTTCCCGGGGTGGATCGAGTTCAACTCTACTCGTTGCACGACTTTGGTTCTGTAACTGAGCTATCGCTGCCTGTTGAGGTTGCAATATTTCGAAGATCACCCTTAAACTGATCCCATCTCCACCAACATTTTGTGTGTTTTGAGCCGCTGATCGGGCTCCACCACGGACGCTATTCTCGAGTTCGGTAGGCAGGTTTGTGTCGATAGCCACATGTGAATTAACGTCAATTGGGTCTGCGACCATAATTCCGATGGGATCAACGAGCGGTACTTCATTACCGGGTGCTATGTTGTTATTTTTACCGTGATGACCGGGCTCATTGTCAACATGTAGGGGTGCTGATTGAGAGTTTGACATTTTGAGTTTTAACATGAAATTAGAGACACTTCAAAGAACAAGTGTAAAGTAGTGTGTGTTATGGAGATTTGTATCAAATAACCATTATTATCCTTAGCCCAACGGTGGGCGCCAAATTGTCTACCCTCAAAATTGGATAGCAATTGAATTTGGAAGTAGTTTTAAGGATCCATGGACTAACTTGATACAAAATGATAAATTAGATCGCAATTGAAATAAATAATGACAAAATAAATACAAACCACACGAATTGAATAGTATCAACCTTGGAAGGTTAGCCACCCTCGAGCCAGGTATGCTTCGATCGATGTCAGAATATTGAAGAACAAGAGCTTAAAGAGAAATAATAAAAACGTATTGCTTTGGAATGCGTGTTACAATGTGTTAAATGAATTATTAGACCTCCATCCCCCTTATATAGTAGAGGAGCCCTACTTTAGGTACATTTCTATAAAAGGTAAAAAAAATCCCTTGATTAGCTGATTGTCGGTTCCTTACTGATACGCGCCGAGATTCCCGCCGTAATACCCGACCAGTCACGGATATTTTGGTCTTCTGTTGGTTATGCTAACAATAGTTTTTCGAGCGCGATCGGGGCTAAGGTCGACTTCGGGTTTACGAACTCAGTGTTCTCGAAGACAGGCGTTCTGATCCTGAGTTCTAGCTCGGTGGGATTCGGGGTCGATCTTCAATCTTTGGTTGTCATGTTTTGAGCCTAACTTGCCATGTCGTAGGCAAGCTCGATTCCGACTATATATATATATATATATATATATATATATATATATATATATGGGGTCTAATGTTGCAACTAATTATGCGGAGAATGATTTACATTGGAATACTATTTCTCAAATTATTTTCCGATGTTAGATAAGAATATTAGGTCACTCGTAAGAATGCTCGACATGGTGATGGCGTGTCAATTAATTAGTGATAATGTTAAAAATTAAATATTTATATCCTGGCTGAAGCAAGTGACAGACAGCAATAGTCAAATTGTTGTAGAGATGCCCATAAATAATCAAGTAATTTTATATAACTTGGCTAAAATATTTTCATTGTACAAACATTTATTTTTTATCATTCGAGATATCATGTGAGTAAATAAATGTTAAAGTAAAAAAGAAAAGCTATCAAATTAAACTAACCAAACAGTAGTGAAAAACAATACTATTCATCAATGAAAATCAAACATTTTAGGCCGTACTTACAAAAATGATAAAATTTCGGAGAAAATAAACAAAGAATGAGATAATTAAGAAAGTGATACTAGGATTGGTTTCTTTAATCTAATCATGCAGCCCAATTAAAAAATGAGATAATTTCAACAACATATCTATTACTGTTCGACCTTTTTCGGTAAAAAACATACACAATTTGTTTCCATATGACAACAATTTATATAACATAGACTAAGATATATATTAGATGGAAATAAAAGTAGTCAAGCATCTTTAGTTATAACATTTTAATTTTAGTTATTTTTAGGAGGGTGATGCCTTGGTAATTTGTAATCTGCAGTAAATACTACATATTTTTTCTGATCTCCAGCCAGTGAGAGAAGACGTCTTCTTGTAATTTCTTGGCCTTCTACATTTGCAATAATATTTTCTTGCTTGCTTTCTTCAATAATATTTTCTTTCACTTTCTCGGAAAATTCCAAATTTCGTCCACTCAACTTGTTTTCTCTTATTATAGCTGCTGCATGCATCCCATCAATGTTTGACTATCGATCAAAAAAACCGAAATAGGGTAATTAGAAAATGAGTTTAACTTATGTACATTGAGTCTGACAACGTAAAATCATATTTTTATAACAAAATCAGGTCATTTAAAAACTTTTACACTATTAGTTAATCTAAATATTAACTACAGGTAACCATCCATAAAAAGCAACATTAGTAACCTATAAATAAGTCATACCTTTAGAAAAAAAATTTACATAACCTAAAAATATGCAGATACTTGAAACATTCTGGTTGAAACGAAGAGCTAGTACTTAAAAGTAATTTCATTATGATATACAAAATGGAAAATGATTGAAACCGAATGAGAGTTACGTATACAAACCTCACTATTTGGGATGAAGTTGCATCTTTTGGTTGCAATATTGCTACCTACACAGAAAAATCAATAAAAAATATTTTCTTCTTAGTTTTTAAGTAATGACAAGGAATAAAAACTTATTTTTTCCGCAAAAACTAGCTAGGATATAGAAAAATAGTGAAAGAAATTACCTTGGTAGGAAGTTGTGTAAGAGAGACTTTGAGCAATGAAGATTAGGAGCAACAATAAAGTTGTAATTCGAATAGGTACTGACATTGTAACTACTTTCTGTGTTTTGGGGTATGTCTGTTTTTCTTTTCCAAATATCCAAAGAAAACAGAAAGTCGACTATATAGGGAAAGCACATGTACACAAGTCAAAGATTTGGTACAAAGTACACTAACATTAAAAACTTCTACATTCCCAAGTCAAAGTAATAAGACTAGCTAGGGTTCCCAAGAATAATTTTAACCTTCAAATCCAAGTTTAAGAAATAAATAAGTTTACACAAGGGGACCAAGTTTACTGGCATGCATTCCCATGGCAAATTTTTGTTTAAAAATTGGTGTTGATCTATGTGGCAGTCATTTTTGTAGTACTAGGATCTCGAGACTCTTGAAATTACCATAAAATATTGAAGAAGAAAAAAAACTCCCATAATATTCATTTGGAAAAAAGTTCCACTACTTTCGAATATTGTATGCATTTAACTTTCGTTATACTATCGGATCAAATTTATCCTACCGTTATACTATCTGGCCAAATTTACCCCTATCATCAGCAAATATTTAAAAATTACCCCTTAATCTGTTAAGTATTCCAAAATCTCTCAAATTCATTTTATGTAAATCACTTATTGTTCTTCTTGTTCCATTATTTTCAGAAATTACTATTGATATGAATGCTAAAGTTACTAGACTAAATAAATTATCCATATTTGTTTTTAAATTACCAATGCACCCATCTCTCTTCTTGTAATAATGAGTTTGGAATTGGTTTAAAATTTTATTTTAATCATATACACACCGTAGAATTTATTGGGTCTATTTATCGTGTATTATATGCAGCTGATCATCATGTATGTACATGCATATTCAAATATATTTTTGTCATTAACTAGTTAGTATAGTGCACAATATGTAGGCATAAAACAAAGTTGAATTCAACAATGTAAAGTTTATGTGGAACTTCAACTTCAGTCACTAGCAAAGTCTCCATACATTTGGTGCAACGAATTCATTAAAATTGGGATATTATAAATACTTTTAGAATTTAGAAAAGCTACCTAATTTAGATTTTTCAATTTACTATACTTTGTTTATTAACAACTGTATTATTTAATATTTCTATTTTTTTTCTCCAATTCAGAAAGTAGGTAAATGCTAATTATTTTGAAAGTAGTGGGACTAAGAAGAAGAAAAAATGATTTGAGAGATTCCGGGTCACCTGACGGACCGAGGAGTAATCTTTTAAAAGTTTGCTGATTGTAGGGGTAAATTTGGCCCGATAGTATAACAGTATGGTTAAATTTAACCCGATAGTATGATGAAGATTAAATGTAGACAATATCTCAAAGTAGAAAGGTATATTTGGCCATATTCCCTATTCATTAGATATTTTAGTGACACCGAACAATAGTCATTTTTTGACGACCTAAATTCTCGACAACTAAACATTGACAAAAAGTGTGAAATAACTTGTAAGAGTTAACTGAGTTTGTTGGGTGAGTGGGTTTTCACATGGAAAATCTCCGATCGATTTTCCTCACCAGCAGTCTCCTCAGTCAGAGTTCGTTGTACTGAGTTTGCCTAGTACGACTTACATCTCTTGTGTAATTTGCGAGGTATTATACAGTAAATATATTACTCAGTGCACACCAAAAAAATAACGGTTGCGGATTTCCATGAATTTTTTAAAAAAGTGTGAAATCATATGATCAATTTGATTTTGTGGATAAGAGCTATTTTTTAAATATTTTTTCGTGATTCAAATATTAATCGTTTTGTTAATTGAATTTATTTTAAAATATTTGACGCTTTCATTATTTTTTTGTCCAAAATATGTTATTACTGATCAAATGAATGAAAAGTTAATTTAGTGACATATATATCTAATTAAGGAGATATATAAAGAGTAATATAGACAATTTTCTTATTTATAATTAAAGCTATTAAATGTCGTTCTTAGGAACGTGAAAAAAATAATTATTATATGGACAGGATGAAGTAGTTTTTAATTGAAAAAACGTCCAAGTTTATTGTACTCTGGGATCATCTTATTCTTGTTGTCAGCCAATCGTCTCATATTTGCTCTTAATTTAAGGGAGGTTCAACGTTGTCTAGTTGAACTATACTGTCAAAATAGTTTTTCGAAAAGAATGATTCAAATTTACCATTTTACGATTAAAATTTTCTTCCGTCATACTTTAAGTTGGAATATCGTTAGGGCTAGGAACAATATTTGATATAATATATTTGCTAACAGTAAGGGTGTATAACGCGGATCTACATGGTCACTTGTGGGTCCTTAAACCCCCATTACTTTTGACCAAATTTTGTAAATTTGCATACGCAATTTTAAAAATATTTAGATAAATATTGAGTGAGCATTCACAGCTAAACTTATTTTTCCTCTTCTTTTAAAACTTTTATCGACGAGTATTTATGATTTTAAAATCTTGGATCCGTCACTGCGTAACAGTACATTACATTTCGTACAACAAAGAGGTAGTTTAGCCATTTTCAATGGAGGTGGAAAGAGAATGAATGGTTTGGAAGTGGAGGTTTGAAATGAAATGTACTTGGGGTTATGGGAAATGTGTACTATAACGTGGAGAGTAAGATATGAGTGTTTCGAGCTTGTCTGCAATTCCATGCATTTTCAACAAGAATTTAAGAACTTTTCTCATATTGCCGAGGCGAGGCCGCCTAATGGTCCAATTTACCATTTTCCAATGTTAGGTGCCACATTAAATTAAGTGTATACATGCCAAATATTCAGTCATTGACGTGTTTGGGGTGCAAATAAAGTACGCCAAATTATTTGATGGAATAATTTGTATTCCCTTCGATAATTTTCACTTCACTTGTCGCTTTACGCAAATCAAAAGAATGACAATTTTTTTTTCTGTTATACCCATAATATTTATTATTTATTTCAAATTATTTTTTCAAATTCAATAAAATATGCATCAATTAATATAGGTATCATGGTAAATTATGCACTTCATTTATTATTTCTTAAAAGGCGTGAAAAGTCAAAATGTGCCAAGTAAAAGTGAATGGAGGGAGTACGTTTCTTATATACTCCTTCCGGTCCACAATAAGTGATTTTTTGTATTTTTTTTTTGTGATCCAAAATAAGTGATTTTTTCAGATTTCAAGAATGAATTAATTATTTTTTTTCTACACTGCCCTTGGAGTAAATAGTGTTGGAGTATGTGTTAGGAGTGTTTATGTGAAGAGATGGTAAATGTTAATATGGTTAATTTTATTGTTAATTAATGTTAAAAGGTGAATTTCTTAATCTATGTGAAAACAACCAAAAAATTACTTATTGTGGACTGAAGAAATAATTTTGAGCAACTCTCGCTAAATAACTAGGTTTTGAGATTGAATTAGGTCTGAGGTCCTTTTTATAAAATTAACTAATATGATGATCTTTTTATCTACTTAAGAAAGCAAGGTGCCAAGAGGTGGTAGACCGAGGAATAAGGGGATTTAAAAAATTCGAACTTGTGAACAAAGGTAAACTCATCTCAAGATACCGACACTCCATTAATATTTCTGTTTGGACAAAATATTAACATGTGTGATAATCAAACACTGATAATAAAATAACATGTCAAATAAAAAACCTTCCTTTGGACCGATTTGTTATTCACACGTAAAATCAAATAATTATCACATATTTATTATCACAGAATAATGTTGTTTATTCTAAAACCAGATAACAATTGAATGTATATGTGGTTTTAAGGACACGTGATTTTACTTGGTATAAAATGAGAAAATATGCAAATTGATATTGAAATTGACCGTAAAGAAAAAATAAAAGCAAACCAAATGAGATATGTAGCTTGGGCCCTCGAACCAAATGAAACAACAAAAGAAATATAAGCGAAGTAACATAGTATTGAGAACCTTGAGAAAATAATATTATATTGCTTTTTTACTGTCTGAGCCCCCTAACAAATGATCAGACCCCCTTTATATAGTAGGAGAGTCCTACTCTTGATACAATTCTAAATATAGTAAGGACTCTCATGATGGACTAATTAATCAGCCTCTTCTTGATACGTGCCGTGATTTTCACCGAGATTCTCCCCCTAATTGCGGCTGTAAAAACTTTTTGTTTCTTGGCTCGATCTTGATCCTGGCCGATCTTGATCTTGACTGATCTCGATCTTGATCGGTCTTTGGGCCTTCGAGCTCGATCTTGACCGACCTCGATCTTAATCGGTCTCTGGGTCTCGAGCTCGACAACATATTCTTCGTACCATGGATCGATATTACAATGATGAACCTTGAACCATCACGTTCCAATCTCTATTAATCCTACGAAGGGCAAAACTCGGTTTCGACCGTATACAGATAGTCCCCTCGTTTCTCGGAAAGATGATGATGAGAAACGATATGAATTTCTGAACTTCGACTTGGTGGATGATGATGTCAGCGACGAGCCCGATTGTGACGTATGCGACAAACGTCCTGTGGGTCCGGTTACCAAGGCATTAAATGCGCGTCAGTTGATGGCCGGTCATTACTAGTTTTGAACCGTCATTGTGAAACCAATAAATAGCTCATTTCTTCATCATTCCAAACTTTTATTTTCGAAACTTTTTCATTCACATCTTCATAGTTGTTTTCCTTCTCCAAAGCTCCTTATTTCCAGGTTTTCAAATTTTGTTGCTTGTTCATCTTAAAACACCAAATACTTCAGTCTTCATTCTCCTTTGTTCACAAACAACTAAATCTCAAAAACATCTAAAATCGTAACGCAGAAAATGGTTGCTTCCTCATCTTGGCCGGCCGGCGTGAAACCAGTGGTGGAGCCACACCTTGAGGAACTTATTCCCGGGGTGTGTGCTATTGATTCCGATTTTAAGGTCGAGAAAACATCATCGGTTGTTGGTCGATACGAGCCGGTATCGAGATATATATGCTCGATACCCAAAAGTCTTCTTGATCTAGTGAAAAAAATTGCAATTGAAAAAACAAAGAGGTTGTGATACCCGCACGGGAGGAAGCGATCACTACCTACGTGGAAGGGTATGTGAGTGTATATACTTATCCTTTCACGCTGGGTCCCCTTGGTCCG